GGCTTCTGGTCTTTGGTTCTCTGCAGGAGTTGGAGGCTTTGCTCTGACTGACACTACTCTTCATCCCAGAACAAGTTCTGTCCACAAATTACAGCCACTTCATAGGCAACACAAGTGGTCAAGATGTTAATTCGTGGGAAAACACCAGTGGGCTTTAAACAAAATGCTCTGTATTTCAAAATTAATTTATCAAGGAGCCAATGGGAAAAAGAAAATGCTGGCTTTGCCCAAACTGTGTCAGTTCTTTTCTTGTTTGCTTTTGGCCACCTTAATATTCAGGTTAGACAAGCAGTAGTACCTTGAGTCATATGCACACAAGCAGTGGGATTTAATGTATGGAAAAGGAAAACTGAAGAGAACTGCAGGCTCTGTGACTGGAACTGCTGAGAACAGATAGCTGTGGGGAAGGGCAGGAAGCACCCCACAGTGCTGCACAATTCCTGATTCCTGGGACACTCCCTTTCTAGGAGTACTCACAGCAGGTAAATGGGTGCATACGCGATTTTGAAAGTTTGGATCTTAAATTTACTCATCAGATCTCCCTACTGTCCCAAAAGTTAGGTTACAAGTTATATTCTTGATTATGAGGGTAAAGTAAAATTGAACATGTATAAAAATACTGAACTGCTGCCAAACCAGTGATGTCTGAGGCTACCAAACAGCACAGAAGTGGTACTTGCAACGCAGGAGCAAGGAAAAAGGACAAGATACCTGGTCACCACAGTGATGTGTTCCAGACCATGGGCAGTGTTAAGTAAAAAAGAAATATAAACTGCATGTGGGTCTGCTCCTGGTGGTGCTACAGAATATGGTGCTTTTCGAATTTCTTACTAAAACATACTACAAACGGAGAATTTCCATGCCACTTACATGTATGCTATACTTAATGTACATTCTTCAGTCATCAATAAAAAGCTCTTCATTATATCTATAACATATAATAGTTCCTTTGTAGAAAAACAAAACGAAACAAAACAAAACCCCAATCCCAACCAACCTGTAGATTGTGCTGTTGTGATTTTAGTTTGTTTTTCATTTGGGAAAAGTTTCAGAAGAACAGCTATATAGAATATCAGGAGACCACTCCCTTTTTATAGGACTGCTGTCCAAAGAGGATGGAGCTAAATCTTTTCAAGAAAGTAAGAGTAAGCACCCCATCAGTGCAGTGGTAACAATGAATCAAAACATTGGTTCTAATGGAAAACAAAATTACTAAAAGTTTAGGAATTTCTGGTAGTTATCCTTTCCTCAAATACTACTAACGTGGTCAGTTAATAAATTGAAGTTGTTTTTTTTTAAGCAGTTCCAAAGATACACAGCTTATATGAGTTTTACCATTAAGAGGAAAGCATCTTTACGCTGTGCAGCATACACTGAGGATGGCTGTTTCTCCTTCACAGTAAGACTGAAGTTATAATAGCTATGTAGTTTTTATCTCATATATGAACTTTGCTACATAAAATACATTCAGTTTGATAATTGTGATTTGGGAGGGCTAAGAAACCTAAAACCGGAAAACTGAGCATCCTGCTTGTTTTCATGTGAATAGACTCCAGAACAAAGGGATCATAATCTTACTGCCAACTTACAGTAACAATACAGTATAAAAGGAAAAAAAGTCTGCACCCTCTTACATTTTCAGCAAGACACAGAAATATGTTGCACTTTATAGTATTTACTTTTTCCCAATCTCCTTGAGATTTTAAATTAATGCCAAGATAACAAATCATTCATATAAACTCATTGTTTTCCCAAGTGAAAAGAAGTTTCCAGGGAAACTACACTTCTTTGAAAGGAAATGTGTATTTATGTCATAAAAAAAAAAATGATTATTCTGGGTCTGCTCCTTCAAGCTTTAATTTCATTTGCTGCAGCTAGTACTCTGACAGAGTTCTTCTTTGGTATTTATTCTCATAATTTGTTATAAGAGTTCAAGTAATGTCCATAAGTAGACTGAGGGTAGCTGGGCACGAATTGGAAAGAGGAATTGGAACTTCTGTCCCTCCCTACAAGATAAATAGACGTAAACCATCTGTTTGAACATTTTGATTCATGAGCAGGTACGTGTTAGCATCTGCCATAGTCTCACTGTTTTCATAATACGTAAACAAGAAGCTTCAGAAGATTTTGATGAATAATATTTGAATCAGCCACCTTTAAGTGGTGCTAAGCTAACTGCTTTTGGAGCCCAGTCAGTGATACTCAGCTCTTGTAAAAGGATGGACCTGGCACACAAGCACTCATCTAACGAACCTCACACCGTATTCTAGACAGGGCTTTGCATACTGTTATGAGCATAATTTTCATAAGCAGAATAAAGATAGCTCCATATGTCAGTCTAGTGGCCCTTACATCTTGCAATAGACTACTAACATTTGTGACACTCCATTGGACATAGAGTAGAAAAGATTCGAGATGTGATCCTCTGTTAGTATATCATTATTGCACTGAGAATATCAGCTGAGAGCCTGGCAGGTGACTAGATGCCACAAGCATTTTGAAAAGGTCTTTCTTCACTGGAATGTTTGTTCACTGAAACATCATCCTTCAAGAATTAACTTTCAGCTTTGGATAGTGGATGAAGTTTTTTAGTGGCTAACACCATGAGATGTGCCCATACTCACCCACATATCCTACTTCAAATATTGGGAACATTCTACTGTTTTTTGGGGTTGTTTGGGCTGAAATTCTATTCAGAAACAAAATGAAAAAACCCACAAGAACAAAAGGGATATGTATTGCACTCCCAATTCTGCTCCACAACATTATGCTGAAGAGATGCAGTTTCTCCTTTAAGCTCAGAGAAAGTTCAGCTTCATCTAACTAGCTGTTATCTCAGTTTACTTGAGCGTAGTACATTGCGTGTGAATATTCATACCAGATAACACTCAAACTTCATAGGTCTGGTGTTAACTTTAATTATGCTACAGGTTCAGAGTTCAGAGTTCAGAGCCTCTTTTAAGGAGATTTCAGTCTCTTTCCAAGGGCAGGAATAGATGCCATTTTAGGAAGAAACTATGTTTGCACACTGACACATCCCTTCTGATCCACTGAGTTCAATGGGATCATTAGATTCAGAAACAAAGCAAAATTTGGCCTACCATTTCAGCGGGCTCAGTGCAACTCTATAGGATCTTTTGTGTCCTCTACATACCTAATTGCGAGACCTCAGAGAAAATGCTGTCCCATTCACTGTAAAATAGGAGGGTCCACGGGGGAAAATAATTGCATTAGAGAAACACACAAATCACTTTAAGTTCGCCTGTTTCAATGTTTGAAAATCATTTTCTTTTCCTCTGTAAACAATGACAGTTTAAATAGGATCTGAAGTGTTAACTCAACAAATAATACACTAGTCTGTCATATGGTTAATATTAATGTCTCTCTATTCAAACATGCTGAAAACTGAATAGAACAGTTAACATATAACAGTCACACATCCTTTGCTGAATACAAGATCGCATCTCTAACATGAACTGAAGGTATCCTCACCATTTCAGATCTCCATCAACCATTCAGTCAAACATTTCATTGTATTAAAGTACATTGCTCTTGCCCTTTTTCTGGGTCTTTGGGGGTGTTCAGTGAACACATTCTCTCATTAAAGGCATTGCTTATGACTATATTATGATTATAGTTCTTTCTTCAACAGAAATCCTGCAGTGTGTTTCCAATACATCACCAGAAGAGAGTTTGCACAGTTTGGTAGGATTTGGGGGCAAGTAGGCCTTACAGCTGGATTGAAAGGATTTGGTGTTGACAGAGCAGTTTGTGAAAGATTTTGCATTTTACTGCAGATACCATTTCTCAACAAAATTAATTAACAATTAATTAAAAAACAGTTGTGAGCATGCTTCACAAATTATTGAATCAGAGCTTTATGTAGAAGCCATTTTTTAAATTACAGGTGTGTTCACTTACGCGTAGATGCACGCTCACTTGGCTTATGTCCTGAGCTGGCAGGATACAAATGCTATTAACAGAAAAGTCACACAGCTGAGCTGAGGTGAAGCTGAGCCCCACTTAGCACACGGTTCATCTTCCAGAGGTTTGTCTGGTGCGGGTTTTGTGCCATGCCAGTACAGGCAGCTCAGCCCAGTGAGATCGTGCACAGCTACTGCGTAGTGCAGAAACAAGACATGGAAGAACCTCTCCTTGTGGGGATCCCAGCCTACAGCTTAATCCTCCTGTTATGAGAAGAGCTCTACAGCTTTTTAGAAAGGAGTCTGAATGAGGCATGCTCCATCCTGGGCATAAAGCATAATTTGCCCTCAAATAGACTTTTATTGAAAACACACAGCAAAGATTACAGCCATAGAAAGTTCTGTAAACAAGACAATTTCATCATCTTAAACAAAACAAAACAAACAAAAAAAAAAAAAAAAAAAAAAAGAGCCAAAACAACACACACACAAACAAAAATAAAAATAAAAAAACCCAAAAAATTAAAAGAAAAAAGACAAGAAAACCAAAGTAAGACTTGATGAATAAAGATTTGTGAAGAGGATTTTTTTTAATGCCTCAGCTAGGCACAAAATAAATGACATACATTTTCAGCATTTTCTTTTTCAAATTTACTTGACAGAGGTTAAAATATTGCTTTATTCTGACTAAACATACAACAGCACTGTGTGACCGACTGTGCTATTTTGGGAAGTCTTGAGACTTGTGAACTGGAAAGTCTGGGGCACATCTAATAAGTTGAACAATTAATTTGCTGCAAATAATATTTTAATACATTCTGTATATATGGTAATTTTTTAAATCAATCTTCTGACATTATCAGGGAAGGCTATTTGGTAATTATTTATCATAGTTTATATTCTTTTTCCCCACAAATAAGCAGATATTTTAATAACAATGAAAACAGTAACATGTGAGCCACTGAACCCAAATCGTTGCATTATTGGCATATTATGTTACAATTTATTGGGAGGAAGAAGGACTCAAAAGAAAGCAAATGAAAAAAAAAAAAAGCCTATAATATGATTGGGATACAGTAATCAGGAACTGACATTTCTTCTCTAAGGCCTTCTCTAAGGCAGCAGGGATTGATTTGCTGGAACCGCCTGTTCACGTACAGCCCCAGCAGAATCAGCTGCGTGCATGCTCCTAGGTATGCCCATCCTGAGCTATCTGCAGGGTTGGAGCTTTGAAGTTCACAAGCCAAAGCCATGATTCATTAAAGTGACCAGAGAACTGAGAGCGGAATCAAATGAGGACAGTATGGACACCTATTGGCTGGCCTCAGATCGCGTTGGATCTCCCAGACTCATTTCTGAATAACCCATAATAAAAATAAGTTAAAAAAACCACACATACACTCAGAAGTGCTCCTTGAGAGCATACAAATGCCTTCAAAGTTTAACAGTTTAGAAATGCTTATGGATCGGTAAAGAACAGCAGAGTTTACAATCCCACTCTTAAAAACTAAACCAACCCTAACCTGCCATGGTGCGTGCTTCTGCACTTTGAGTTTCTGTTCTTCTTTTTCTTCTTCCAACCAAGAAGCTCTTTCAGACAAAGCTCAGAAGATGGAGCAGCCACAGGGCTACTGCACCTCCACAGGCCCCAACCCCTCTCCAGGCTTGGCCTGACCCAAAGCTCCTAAAAGTTTCCACTGAACTTCTCAAGCTGACTGACACACTCATGTAAGGTAGAGAGTCAAGCATCTGGCTCAATTAAGGATTTACGGTCATTACACAGTTAGTGCCAAGAATTGGACGTTTGTGTTTCCTCTCTCAGAATGAACCTAGAACTGAGAGCAGGGGGGACTGGGTCTGTGCTAGGGTTTTGGAACTTGCACCCCTGGCCAGCATTCACTGCAGCGCTGCCCTGAAACCAAGAATGGTTCTTAGAACGGTCTTGGCCTTTATTGAAAATAGGATGCATAGCCTAAGCCTCCTGACAGCCAAACAGGACAGTGTTAAAATACTCTAGAACTGAAACTGTATGTATAATCCTGCCTAGAAAGCACCTGATGTACGCCTTATCCCTCCCGGAACATTTCTTTCCTTTAAAAAAATATTTTGTTAAAAAACACTATGATATGAGGGCGATTGACTATTTGGTTTCTTCTAAGTAGATGCTCTTAAATTAATGCATATAAATAATTTGTATTTAATTTCCTCCTTTCCTGTTTAGCAAAGCATCGAATGCACAGATCTGTTATTCCCCCTCCTGCGACCCCCACACAAAGTCACTTGGTCAACACTGAGTCTCTTTGTGTTTCACCTTTTAAGACAAATTGTGCCTCTCGATCTGCCTTGGCCACAGGGCTCATAGGCAGGAACGCGGTGTTCTCGCTCGCGCTGCTCTCCGCGTCTACGCTCGTCAGTTCGAAGTCCTCCGACCTCCTCGCATCAGTCAGAATCCGAATCTGCTCCTGCACAGTTTCTAGCAATATTTTCACTTCATGTTGTTCTGCTATAAGACAATTACTGACAGGGGAACTCACATTGACAAGTTCAGCTGAATAGGAGTTTTTGCACCATTTGATGCCTGTTACTTCAGAAACATTTTGCATTTGCATGCAGGCTTCGTCCAAGCCCACAGATGGGATGATGGGAACTGAGTTGGCCCTTGAAGATGAGTATCCGACCAAGTCCTTCTGATCCACGTTATTAAAATAAGGGGTTGTCTCTCTTGAAGGCAGTTGCATATTTATTGAAGTATTCTGAGAAGTTTTAAAACCACTAGATGAATACCTGAAAGGAATAAGAAAGATTTTTTGTTGCAAACTGAGCAGCCAGATGTGACCAGTGGAAGGAATGTTGTATGAGAGTCAGAGAGCTGTGCTGCAAGGATACATGGCTGTTTCGAGTCACACTCAGAGCACTTAGAGCTATTGTGGCCCAGGGGAAAACAGCAGGCTCTGGAAATCTGGGTTTTATTGCCACTGCTTTTCCCTCTGTCCCATTTTCCCCACCAGTACATGAGAATAATAACAATAAATTTTTATATGCTTTCAGGAGTTACACTGTACTGGATACAAGGAAGGTTTTTACAGTATGGGTGGTGAAGCACTAGCATGGGTTGCCCAGAGAGGTGGTGGAAGCCCTGGAGACATTCAAGATGAGGCTGGATCAGGCTCTGAGCAAGCAGATGGAGCTGTAGATGTCCCTGCTCACTGCAGGGGAGTTGGACTCCACAGCCCTTAAGGCTGCTCAGAGCCTTCCAAATCAAAAGATTTTTTAAAATTTTTTTTTTTTTTTTTTTTTCCCTTCCTATAAGTCAAATTCAAAATCTCAGTCTTTCATTTCTAACTGGAGAAATGGATTGATGTTTTCTTGAACATCAGAACTCTCGATATCAAATTGTTATTCCAGGAAAACACTAAAGAAGAGAAATTGAAACAAAATTATATTCTTTAATTGCATGGAAACAATCACCTGTGCCCCCTTTCAAATATGCAGTGTCTACGTGCACTGTAACTCTGACAAACAGGTCATTTTTTGTAATCATCCAATGCTGACATGATTTGGTTTCTTAAGACCTCATCTGGAAATAATGCCTTGTGCTCATGAAAATGTTATTCACCTATTCTACAAGAAAAATCCTTTATCCTCCACGTACGTATACTATAGCATGATTTCATTTATTGTGAGGCAACTTCACTGAATTTTTTTTATCAACATTCCCATTTTGATTCAAAGCCAAATTCATTACTCTTACCAGAAAATGTTTGCACTGATATATTTAAAAACCAGAAATGGAAAATATACTAAACATAAAGGAAACAATGCTCAAGATGTTTCCCATTCCTGAAGTATTATTAGAAATGCAGTATTTCTACTACTTGTGATTACCAAGAACCATAGGCATCACCTCCATGCTTCATCAATATTTTATGCATCGTCAGCTTTGTGTTCTTATCACTATGTGATGGGGCAAGCCAATGAGAAATCTAACATGTTTTACTGTTGATCATGAAAAGCGACATCTACATCTGGTACAGAGGAAATGTCTGAGCTCAGACAGGAAGGATATTTTCTGAAAGCTGCTTAAACCTACTGGACTTGCCCCGGGGTATTCTATTTACACGTGCCTTGCTTCTTCTGACATTAACAGAAAGAGAACTTGGGAACAGCAATTAAAGTGTTCAAAACAGCCGTAGCCTAATAAAAGCATACAAAGCTAATTAAGTGGACAGATTTCGTTTGGCCCCAGCCTCCTGGTGAGCTGTCAGACAAACAAAAGAGGAGGAAATATCTCTAGGCTCATTTCCAGGAGAGCGCTGCTGACTTGTAGCTATCTCATCTATGGTGGCTGTGTTTCATAACTGCTTGATGTGAACCTGGACACATGCACACATGCAGCACTGTGCGTTGCTACACTGAAACTCTGCAGCAGCACTCCCAGAAGACTACAAAGCACAGCTGGGAGCTCTGCAATAAGGAAGAGGCACTGTGAGCTTTGCTGCTATCTGATGGAATAAGATACTGCTTTGGGAAGTGGGACCCAGGGGAACAATAAAGCAAGTGGCTTTTAGGAATATGAAACAGCATTTCTTGCACAAGCTATGCAGCTGCATTTACACTTTACTTTGAAACAGGAAAGGTTGGCTTTTGGTTAATTACTTTTGTTCTGTGCTTAGACACACTGGCCATCTACTGAAGGCCTTTTTTGAACAGTTTTTGAGAATCAGTATAATGAAAAACTGATTAGCTAAATTATTCCAGAGGGAGGACAACTGAAAATAAATTAATAATAAAGGAAAACAAAAGAGTGCAGACCTGTTGTGCCCATTCTTGTTTCCTTTGCATTTGCTTATTATATAATTGTTCAAACGACTATAGCTGGAGGGATCTCATCAGCTGCATTATTCCCCTTTTTGGTAATTCAGGCCCTAAATATATTCTGGGTTGCACCCTGAAAACAAAGGGAGTGAATGTTTTTAATGAATTTCACATGCAATGGCTGTATTGTATGGATGATATATGAGCGAAACCAAAAAAAGATGGAATTATCCAATGAGTTTAGTGAGATAACAGTAACATTTGCCAATTCTATAAAAGGGATTCAATTATTCTTGGTATTTTGAAAACTAATTGGCAGTAACAATAACATGTAACTCAATGCCTGGCATATTTCCATAGCTGTTTGTTTTTTGTTTCTTTTTTTTAAGTGCAGATGAACACAACGATTTTATGCCAGAAGTACATGTTTCTGCCCTGTGTTTACACAGCTTTCAAAGAAAGACTAAGTTGAATTAAAGCACATGTACTGTGTGTAACAGGCAATGTACTGAACTAGCAGGGATATGACTTCAGAGCCATGTGAGAGCCGGCTTTTAGTTCACTACAAACAAATCCCTGCTTCTACTTCTGATGCCAAACTGTTGCTGGTTACAACAGAATGAGATTTCAGTCAATAAGCACCTCTAAGTGCAGAATAATAATAATTGTTTCCTGTAATTGTTTCCCAGAACTAGAATGTCCCTTCAGAAAGGTATTTGTATTATTTTCATCTGAAAAAATTATTTTGTCTGAATAAATTAAATTGTGCATGTACTTCAAAGTGCAGCTCTGCCCACTCTTCTACTCAAATCAAGTAAAAAAGCCCACAAACATTCATAAATCTGTAACAGCAACCACAAGTTACACAGTTTTCAAGAGTCTGTGTCAGTGAATGAAACTGAATGAAGCATAATTACGCTGTCCCTTAAAACAGATATTAAAGCAAGACAGGCAGGACTTATGACTTAAAATACAAAATGAGCTTCATTCAGTGTAGCGCAAAGAGCTTTGCTATAAGCCCAATTGCTGTAGATGTTCACTGTAGGAGCTTGATGGCCAAGTCCATTAAGATGAATGAGAGTCTCTACAATGACATCAGCAGGCTTCAGCTCAGCCTTGGAAGCATGCATACCTACCTATGTGTCTACCTAAATATATGACATGCTGGGGGTCTGCAAACACATCTGTATCTGTATAAATATGCATTTGCAGATATAAGGTACTGCCTCTAGCAGCTGATACCAAGCAATGCAAACAGCTGTCACTGTGGGACCAAAGTACTGTTCTTCTCTTTGCATGCATGCCCATGACACCCCAAAATGCTCGTTGGACTCTGAGATGTGACTGCCATGGAGGTATTTGTTTACTTCAAGCCCTTCATTTCAGGAAGGTTTTTCTGCTACTCTGAGTAGCGGACTGATGAGCCAGTCGTATTTGACTTGAAGTCTACAAAGGCCTGAATTGCAAATATTGAGAGCTGGTGTTTTCCTGAAGCAGCAAAAGAACCCCAACTTCTCTAAAGACCTTCCAGTTGGGTTGATATCCACTAAGAGCACCAAAAATCTCAAACAGATGGTAAGAGAAAGATTTGGGGATTTGGGGAAAAAGGAGGTTAGAAGACTTCCATTTGCAGTAGAATTAGAACATTATCTTTGTATTTTGGTTTGGAGATCAGATGTGCACTTGAATTTTAGTTTCTATAGTTGTTATATTTTAGTTTAGTTACAATACTTCATTACTGCATCCCTTGCAAAAAGCTTTATTACATTCTGTAAAGACTACATTTTCATAAAAATATACTATCCATTATTAAAACACTTCAATAAAACAAGATCAAAGAGTTGCTATAATTTTCATGCCTCATGTTCACATGGTTGTAATTCCTTCTCATGGGGACTGGCTTAAGGATGCTGATATCACATCTGTGACACTGCTCCTGGTACTCCAACATAACAGTACTTGCCAGTGTGTTTGCAGGCCTCTTTCTGAGGATGTACCACTGACAGAGGCAGAATGAAGCAAGTCAAGTGGTACAGACATGGATAGTACAGAAAATAAGGACGAGGTGCTTTAGGGACTGTGGCCAGAGGGGTTGCAGCACGGTGAAAAAAAATCAACCTTTTGAAGAATGTCAACAGGCCAGATACAGACCAATACAAGATGATAATTGTAATATCACATACTGATTTCCTAGAGGAGAGCAAATACAGCTAGCCACACAGCCTTGCTGCATTTTCTACCTCGCTTCTCAAGATAAAGAGGCTGCAGCTTTCTTCCACGCCTGTGTTTCAAAGCACTGCCACGTAGCAGGGAAGCAGCATCCTCCCTGATACAAAACTACCATTTTGTCACAACTTTCTTAAGGTCTACATTATCATAGGAATGAACAACAGGATCCTGACTGTAAGAAATAACAAACAGGTTCTTCCCTAGAAGTAGCAAACTGCATCAACAAAAGAAGCATGAGACAAACCTGAACCTTTGAACAGAGGCCTAAAGAAAGTTGACTCTCTTTATGCTTTGTTCTTTCCTGTCCCAGGCAAACCCCACTCGCAGTCTGCCTCCCTAACTACTCTAGTCAGCTTCATTAGGCAGATTCAGCTACAAGAGACCTAGAGAGCAAAGTCACATTCCCTCCTGGGATGCCTGGCTGTGGACTGATGCATGCCTGCTTCAGTCTCTGCTAAGCTGGGACTCAGGCATCTTTAAATGAGACCAGAGCAACCCTACAGGTATTCCTCCTGGTGTTACATGTAGTGTGTTTGCAGCGATTCTGGGAAGCCTCTGGAAATCTATAGGGATATGTAAATATTATGCAAAAAAACTCGGCAATTGCAAAAGACTTCAAAGGCTGCTCTAGGTGCTTGGGAGCTCTTCTGAAATTCAGACCTTATGTACAGCTGGAGGTGAATTAGAAGATGAAAAATATCAGGTTTTTTGTATGTGTTCAAAGACAAACTCACATGAACCGGGTTACAGTTTTCCATCTACAGCAAACATGCAATCTACAAAGACTGCATTAAAAAATATGAAAGCTGGACTTCTGAATTATTTCCTCTTATTTGTCCAGTGCTGACAGAAGAAAGAAGTGCTGTGCAAACATTACGTAGAACTACTTCTCCAAGCAGTGCTGGCCTGCTGTGGATATTTCTTTACTTACCCATGACAAGGTATTGTGTCCTGCTCTGTGATCCTGGACTCTTCTAGCTGTTGATATGCTGGTCCTGTAATCCCATTGAACCTACCCCGAGGTAAGGGAGGAGTCCTCCGAAAGGCATTTCTATGTAGCATCCCACTTTTCTGTCCTGGACTGCAGCATGAAGAGAGACTTCTAGAAACAACACACCAAAGATACAGTGACAATTATCATTGCAAAAAGGGTAAACTTCTGCAAAGTGAAGATTCAAAATTAATAATGCATGGATTACTGTTTCTATAAACTTTGCTCTGGCAGTCTACCATGTCAGCAGAAACTCTCTAAGGATACATATTGCTATAATCCACAGCTAGCTGCTGTTTAGGCCGTATCTAATAGATCACATCCCTTCTAAGAAAGAAAATAATTGACTGGCATCTTAAATGTTTTCTTATCCTTGATGAAGGATGCTTCTTTTATTCCTTGCTGCGTACCATAATCGTGCTATAAGGAGATGGACCCTCCAATAGTGGAAATAAACAGCAAAAGTCCATCAGATTGAGTCTTTTATATTGCTTTTATTCTTTTTTTTATATACATTGATTGTGTTCTTGTTTTACATATGTGATAAATAGAATTTTTTCTTTTTATGGTATGATAGAAAAATACTCTTGTAAACAACATTTTTGTAGTGTTTTGTAAAAACAGCTTTCTTTTTATTTAATGCAGGAATTGAAAGGTATCTAGAATTCACACAGTATTTCTTCTACAAACCATAAAACCAGGTTTTGCTAACACAAAAATAAGGGAACACAAAATTATGTCGAAATACAACCCATTTATACTGCATGGCATGACTGGCTATTCATTTTTCAGCTACTCCTTACTTCTCTTAATATCTCCTGGGGCTCAGAAATGCATATGTATTATTTAATATTATGTCACCTCCTTAAAGAAGTTTTAGTATAGGTTTTGTGAATGCATTGTAAGAATTATTATTGTTGGTTAGGTAAATAATTAGAACTTCTGATAAAATTCAGCTATGCAAATGATTTAACCTAAATTCACTTCATTTTTCATAACATGATTTAACAACAATCCCCATTTTATACCTAAAGGAAACTTAACTTACATTGGGGCCACACCTACTCCCAAAGAAATTCTTGCTTGGATCAAATATCTTAGGCAAGTTCTCTTGAAGAACACATTTTAAAACCTACCCTTTCTCTCCAAACTCAAAACAGTAGAAAGAAATTCAACTCTCTCTCAATCTCTACTCTACTGCTCACGTTCCTTTTTGGTATCTGCACTGTTCTCTTCCACACTTGTGCATGCCTGGCGCTTTTTAATTGAAAAGACAGATAACTCATAGCAATAGCATTTCCATAAAGATTTTTGATGCTCCCTTAAATAGATTTTCCTCAGCTATTAAGAAGACTACCAAAAAAAAAAAAACAAACCCCAAAAAACCAAAAAACAACAACAACAAAAAAAACCAACCAAAAAAAAAAACAACCAAAAAACTCTGGGAACAAAAACAAGTTAGACTGACGTTCTGGCCTTTCATTCTTGAGGGCCAAATTCAAATTGCAAGATACAGCTTGTGTTCTTTAAAATAGTGTTACCATATCACAAAGCAATTGGCAATTTCTGCTCAGGAAACTTGAATTATTAAATCAGGGAATCTTAAGAGGTGCAGTTGAATGAATAATTCACAAAGGATAATGAAATTTTTGGCTTTTTGTTATTACTGATTGCAGTATGTTCATCAATGTGCTAAGGAAATCAACAAACTGATTAACTTAACAAACTTTGCATTCATTGCAGATATTTGAAAGTAGAAAGGCAATGTTTAATAGCACTTGCTTTGCTTGTAGCCCAGAAGGCCAATAGTATTCTGGGTTGTATCAACAGAGATGTGGCCAGCAGGGAGATGGAGGTGACTGTTCCCCTCTTCTCTGCCCTTGTGAGGCCCCATCTGGAGAACTGCATCCATGTCAGGGGTCCCCAGTACAGGAAAGATGCAGAGCTGTTGGAGCAGGTACAGAGGAGGGCAACAAGGATGCTCAGAGAGCTGGAGCACCTCTCCTACGAAGAAAGTCTGAGGGAGCTGGGCTCTGTTAGCTTGCAGCTGCGTCCCTCACAGGCCTCTGCTCCATTGCTTGCATGATGTGCTTCCCCCCCTGCAGACAACAGTGCCTTTCCAATTTCTCCAGGTAATTTACCCTTCTTTAGCCACCGTTATAGTTTCTTCTTTGCTCTGTTCTCCAGTCTAAGTGGGTAAAAGAGATAATCCATGTAACTAAGCTGTTCAATAAAGCAAAACAATAAGGAAAGCTGTAGCAAACGATGTCTCCAAAATCTATCAATTGATTACTGGAGAATAACAAAAACCAGAACAGGTCTGAAGTGTCTCACAAGTAATTCATCAACTAGGGAGAAGTGTAGTTCTTATGAATTAATGGTTTGAAATAAATAGCTCAAGAATCTCTAAGGTTAATGAAGAACTTGGGATTCATCCTTGTAAACTGCTTTGTGTGAAAATTCTCTTTGGGTTGAGTAACTGAGTAAAAACAAACACTGTCTCAGGAGGAGGAGTATTCCCTTCTCAAGGCACGTATCCAGCTCTCCAGTGAGGTTAACTGTTCATGGAGAGGAGATGACTTGCAATGAATTTACAGTAACTCTGGAAATCATCCTGAACTATTTTTTCAGTTAATTACTAAACAAAATTGATTGTACATCTCATTATGAACACATTCTAATGTACCTTTGTTAATGGAAACATGAAAAGGACTAACAAGAGAAATATGATTAAAATGTTAAAACTTCAGATGTGAATTCCTTCTTGTTTAATGAGCACAATGGAACTATAAGCACAGTTGTGTGCATTATCACTTTATTTACTCTTTCCCTTTTTTTTCTTGCCTCTTCAATCTCACTTTCCCTTCTGGTGATAGTACTATCACATCACTTCCATTTCCATCATCCTCTTCCTTGGTATCTCTTGCATTCCTTCCATCTGTGCCTTCACATTTTCCCTGTGTTCTTAAGATGCCCCCTGCTGTCATGCTCTAAATTAGATATTTAAGAGAAAGATAAAACATCAAATGTTTTTTTTTTTTTTTTTTTTTTTTTTTTAAACCAGCTTCAGTTTTGTACATCTTGTACTAAATGCAAGCTCATCTCTAATATTATTAAGCTGCCTTCAACCACACACTTGCTGTTCCAATAGTTTTGTTTAAAAAAAAAAAAAAAGATCTTGAACTGGGATACATAACTGTAATTCATGAAGAGCAAAATATACAGAGGAAGAAAAGGAAATTCTAAAAATTGTTGTAATTACTCTGGCTCTGTACTTACAAAATCTATACAGAGTGGCATATTACAATACCTTTAATTTTATCTACGGATAACAAGATGCAAACTGTGTTGGCGAAAGCTGAAAGTCATACTGCTTGCCCTTGCTAGACAGGAATAATGAATATATACCCCAATGATAGAGATAGCTGCCAGATAAACAGCATCTTCTGAAGCTTCCTGGGAGCCACATTTTTAGGCAATGGTACACAATCTTCTGCTAACATGTGTTCAGATGAACTATTCAGACTTTCAACCAATTTTCAGTTGTAATAAAAAGGATCTGTTAAACTTGAGAACATAAGTGTCTCTCAGAAAATGCCACAGGAAGGCATAGTACTGTATCACAAAGTCCTTTTGTCAGGCTGTTAATAAGAATGAGATTACACAAAAAAGCACAAGCCTCTATCGGCATCCTTGGTATAGTGGGTCCCTCAAAGGAGAGAGCTAACGTCATCTTTGGGACTTCAGCAAAGCTGCATGTGATTAAAGTCATACTAAGTCTGTAAGGTATTATGAGTGTATTATGCTAAAAAATGGTGGCATAAGCTGAGAATTTTAATAGTGTTTTATTTATTTGATTTGTTTAAATCCCCGTAGCGTCCTACATTCCAGGCATTTAAGCATTGCTTTTTTTCTCCTGCCTTTGCAAAAACCAACAGTGTAACAAAACACCAAAGATTATGCAGGAGAACAACAACCCACAAGGGCACAACGACCTATGTTTTCCAGCTTGTGTTTATAAACGGTTGGAGCCGGTCAGATCCTCAGTTCAGGTGATGGAGTAAGACCTCCTTGCAGGCTTATTTTTTCCTTTTCATATGAAGGAGCAGCTCTCCAGCTGCTAGTCCCCATGTGCAAGCGTAACTATTCTTGTGTTCTTTAGTAGAAATGTTGTTATTTGCGTACTCAGGAATAGCACTTGCTGGAGCTTTGTAATTCTGCAAAATGACTATGTGTAGCCTGGGGTCACTATGCCTGGTCCACCAGTTAGATTCATGCAACAGGAAAAAGGAACCAAGACGTCAAAGGTGCGTAGGTGGCACAGAGTTCAGCCAGCCACCATGACCTCATTCTGTGCTTCCCATACAGCATGGATCAGCCTCTGTCCTAAAATGACTACTCCAGAAAGTTGTTCTACATTGATAACTCAGTTTAAATTTGTTATGAAGAGTAGATATCTATCACCACTGTACCACCGCATTTGTTCATTTTAAGCAGGTTTTTTAATTCTCCTTATCTTTTCTCTGATGTTTATAAGCAGCTGTCAGTCTTCATTTACTACAATGAATGAGATAAACTAATCCTTTCCATGGAACACAGATGATTCAACCCTTATTTCATTAGCGCATCAATGCAATTTGAGCCCATATTAAGCAGGAGGCCATTTCATCCACACAAGAAAACACTGGTGATTCCTCATGCTACATTCACATGCAATTAAACATTATCTCATGAAATCATTTTAAAACTCCTGACTTTCTGATGGCAATGTCTTCACTAATGTACCGTACTTTCGTTTGCCTCACTTTGCAACTTGGCTACCCTTTCACCAAGTGGTGTGTGCTGAACGTTTTATTCCTCATTTGTTTTTCAGCTCATGGGAGAAGCTTTTGTTATTAGTTCTCAAATGACTGGGCTTGTGTTTAGTACTGCTGAATTCTGAACCACATTATCCACTCCTCAAAGTTACCTGATTCAGTCTTTACCTCAGATCTAGAGCAGTATCTATGCTAACCCTATCTTTGAAGTAATTTCTTTAGTATGTTCCCACTCAAGGACATTGATTTCTGCATTTTACTTCTACTTTGACTGCTGTAACGTCTATTTTCATACATTTTGTTCCATTCCTGTTCTGCCTTCATCCCCAAACAATCATCCTTAATGAAAAATAAAATGCATTCATCCGGGATTTCCTTACTTGCTTCACATATTCTCTGTGTTCCTCCATCAGCTTTGCTTCTTTAGGTAGAGTACTCTTATTACCCAGCCAGCACATTTGATTTTGCTATCACCAGTATCACCATCCTTAACTCTCAATGCTTTCTGAAAATGTTCACTTCAAGAATGACCTCTTGTTTGCTGTGATTCAGTTTGTTCCTCTTCATTCCTCTAAGCCATTTCTTTCGAGTAAACTTTTCCAGAAGACTATGTTCTTTCCTCGGGAAAATACCAGACACTTCTTTATACTTTCTTTTTTTTCCAAGGCTTCCTCTTAGTTGTGTTACTTTATCAATATCTGATTTCTAAAATTCATTAATTTTCTTTGCAGAACAACTTAGATTTACTCTTTCATTTAATTTAAACTGAATCAATTATACTGAGAGCATAAAGATCAAAATGCTAAGTAAAAAAAAATGTTTTCACCTATTTCTTTTTAATGGAGTTTAAAAATGCAACTGCAAATTATTTTAAAGTTTAGATTAAAAAAAAAAAAAAATCGTATCCTATTTTGGTACTTTTGCAAGGCAATACAATTGGTTCATGCTTCCATCCTCTGCATTTGGCTTTCATCACAGCATTCTCTGAAATGAATCCCACTGAAATCAAAGATGAATGAATCAAAGACTGAAAGTCAGCATGTCTAACTACCAAGAAAACTGCAATGCAAAAGGATCACACATCAGTCCAATAGCTAACAAAATCAATCTGTTACTGTGTATACATAGACACTAAGGGCTTTCTTTCTTAAACAACAGATAACCCGAGATGAATTTTTGAGCATACTGTAAATTTTACAATAAGTGTACTCACTAAACATGTTTGTTACTTTCCAGTTATAACTAAGGATTATTTTAAATGTGGGAACGAAAGATATTAAATACTTGTACAATAATAAAGCGAGTAATACAGAGGAAATATTTCAGGAGTAAGACTCAGTGGTGATTCAAATCTTTCATCTTTATATCAATTCTTCGTATTCAGCTGAGGTTGGCAGAGTGAGAAAACTTATTATCCAGTAATCTTAGTGAAATAACTAGGCGATCTCTTCTCTGTCAGCCAAATTTCAGCAAGCCAGAATGATTTCCTACTCTGATAGTCCTAAAGCCAGGAAAAATTTCTTTTGTTCTTAGAAACTGTTGAGCAGACAGCTACTGATTTTACGAAATAATCGCCAGCCATTAATGCCCTTGAAAACGCAAATAGAGAAAGCGGGTCTAGTTGTGGAACAAAATATTTCCATGGTGAACAGAAAAAGAATGGACAGTTTAACAATTGCATAAAATGAGACCCCACAGAGCTGCTGTAATATTTCCAGGTCCATGTCAAGTTTTGAAGACAAGACACCACTCTATTTTTGTCTAACTGTTCATTTTAGGGAGACCAAGCACTTCAGCTAGAACCACTTTAGATCTGCGTCACTGCAACTCAATGTAATGGAATGAGGGGATGCTTAGAGCAAAATGCATCCTTGTTTAAAAAAAAGAAAAACTAAGCTTCATTTTGCTCATCTATATTTTATATACAGAAACAAGGGCTAATTGTACCTAGAGTGTCATTAATTAGACAGACATTACAAAAAGACACCAAATGAATTGGAGAAAAAAAACTTCATACTGCACAACATTTAGAAACTACAGAAACTGAGTGACTTAGGAAGCTGCCACACGATGCATAAATCAAAGACAGTCTTATAAGTCATTGGCATGTTAAAGTCTGTTGCATTTTTTATAAAGCAAGGCCCTTGTATAATGAATCTTAAGTTATAAAACTATGAAAAAGAATTTGTTATAAATCAAGCTGTCTTAGAACAGTTCTGAGGCAAAGACTCTTAATGGAGCCCAATGCTTGACACCTGAAATAATGTAGGTTTTTTTCCCCTTTATAAAGAGAGGTTTTGGTGCATGAATGTCTTCAAGTGAGTGCTTTGGAATTCTGCATTAATTTACTAAAAGTTCAGTGTGGCTTAGTCTGTAATTTCCATATGGAAGACAGCGAGTTTAGCATCATTCAGTTCTTGTTTTAAGAACCTTGTATACAAGAAATATTTAGTCCTTATTTCCACATTTTAAAGCTTAATAACGTAATAATTCAGCACCTAAACAATTTCAAATCAGGCTGTTGCAACCCTGTTATCAAGAGCAAGTGAATGTCACCGTATTTTTTCTAAGCTTCACCTTTTGATTAAATTGGGATTAAATTATCCACAGAACTTGAAGTGGGAATGATTCTGGGCAACATAGTTCATCCACACTTAGTAAAATTATTATGCATGTATTGAAAATCTGCAGAGAATAAGGAATAAACCCAAAGAAAAGCATCTGATGTAATAGTTGGCATTACTTTTTCATTCCAAATTAAAGGTTTAAGTAAGATAATGTAAGTAGGATTCAAATATCCCTTCCTGGTTTATATGGAACACTGTTGTTGGTTTACGAAAGAGAAGGAACGTGACTGGGGGACTGCAACAAATGTCCTCTTGGCTTTACACAAAACACCACAGAAGTTAAGTTATCACCTCATGCAATCCTCTGCTAGCACACTATGGTCCTCCATATCTCTCAGCATTCTTTCCCAGTCCTCCTACCCATCTGTCACCCCCCTAGCAGAATCCCTCAGCTTCCACCACCCTGTCCCCCTGATAGCTGTTTGCTCACCTGTGCTGCTTGATGGGCTGAGTTCCTCTGTCAGGAGACAAAGCCTCTGGGAAAGACTGAGGACCTGAAAAGCTGGACTCCATGACTTTGTCCAGAGCAGGCCCAGGATGCCTATCTGTTTTGGAGTACTGTGGCACAGAGAATAAAATGAATTAATACATAAAATGCAAAATACATTGCTGATGTTATTCAGTGAGAACTGAAATCAATAAGAAGTACTTTAATTTAAAAATTAAAATCAGGAAGGGCAAGTAATACATCCATTCACTGCTGTTTACACAAGTGAAGAGCACCCAGGTTTGTTGTCCCCATTACCTTCTGCACATCAGAAACCCAAAGTCCACATTGGCAGCAAAATTACTGACTGATCTGCCCAAAACAAAAGGGAATGCAGACCCCTTTGAATAAAAACTTGCTTTTGTGACTGTCCATGCAGTGCCTGAGATCACAAAATATCTCAGACGGCGTTCAGCACCTTTTTGTGTCCTTTGATGATTTCAGTCAAACACTCCCCTCATCAATATGCGTAACTAGGAACACCACACTGAATAGCTTTTGTATCATCAGATAAGTAAGAAAAACATTTGAATCCTATCTGTAGAGCCAGACAACCCTGCTGCACCTGAAACTTCTGACCTGGGAGTATCTGTGCTAGTAGTATCAGTGTAAACATAATTCTTCTTGTGACAGTTGTGTGTGCAGGGCAACCTCTGGGCACACAGTGTGACACAAAGGTCTGTAAAGCAGACACCGGATGTGAACAGGAATGGATGTTCCTCTTTTTGGTTTGTGATTCATCTGGAAATTCAGCAAAAAAAAAAAAAAAACAACCAACTCTGGCTCTGAATAGAGCCTGGAAGTCAAAGCATAAGAAGGGTGCATTTTGGTTTGAAAGAAGAATCAATGTTAGCAGCTACTGGACAGTAACTCAGAGGTACAAGCACTTAACCCACATTTACACATAGTTAAGAAAAATAGCAGAAAAAGAAACAGAAAAGAAAGATAACATTTCTGACGCTGTGCTGAGATAAACTGCACTAAACCTAATTGGTCTATTCTTCTTCAATCCTTTTCTCTCTGCATTGAATTTGTACTTTTAGTACTAGGTAGCTAGGTTACCTTGACAATAAGCTGGTACCGTGGGATCTATTACATGATTAAATATTTTAGGTAAAAATATAATGTATATTATATAAAATACAGTGGTAAAATAAATGCCTTGCAATTATACAACAGCATAATCATTTGTGAAGGAGACAGTAAGATTTCTGTCATGGTACAGTTCTTCCCCTTAATTATTTTGTTGTCTAACAAAAGATCAGGTGAGAACTCCTTAAAAAGGAGGAGTTATTTCCTGATTCCCCTTTACTATAATTATCTACATTTCCCAAGAGTTTAGCGAAACTAAAAAGGAAAGTCTCACAAGACTACTCTCTTCTAACCAGTTTCAGAGCACGTTCACAGAACGTCTTGAACTGCTTGTGACCAATTTTCTGTTGATGAAAAAAAAAAAACCACAACAGATCTTCCAATTTTTCTCTTAAGTTATCTCTTCCCTCCCTTCCTGTTGTGCCAAATACCCACAGGAAAGGGGCCAAAATAACTGCTTCAGGGCGTTGGAAGGCAAAGCTGTGAAAGTGGCAATATGTAAAATGTTACTGCACACAAACCAAACACAACTGAAATAATAAGAAGAAACATATTCCACTTGTTTTTCTTCCAGTTACAATGATCTTAGCTGTCATTTGTCACTACTGTAGATGAAGCATTCAGATGGAAGCATGTCTTTTAAGGTGCTGTTTGTGACAGTTTTAAACTTCAATGTTTCTTCTGCCAGCTGCAGCAATGACACTGATTTCTGACCTGAATAAATCAATTTGAGCTATGGGAAGAATGAGTTGTAAGTATTAGGAAGGTATTTCTGTCCTTTTTCATGTTTGTTCGTGATATTAAATTGAAGACCCAACCGGCTTTAAAGGACCACGAGCATGAAGTGAATCACAGAGGTTAAGCAGGGATGAGCTATGCCTCTCACCACATCTATGGTTAAAGTGAACATGGGCTTTGGGGGATGACACACACAAGAGCATCTTTGCTCATCACAGTTGAGGAAGAACAGGGTCCCCCCATGAGCTGCCCAATGCAATCCCAAATATTTACTGCCCAGGCTCAGTTTGGCTCTTTCTTCTTAATCAAATATTTATTTCATGACATTTCCAGATCCATCGCTCACTAATCATCACAACAACCACAGTGTCAATTACACTGATATCACAATTTCAGCTGAGGGTGCAAATATACAGAGAATTTGAACGATCAACAGAATCAATTTTATTTAGTTGTAGCACATTCATAGAATTAAACACAGTTGGGTTTACTCCTTTCTAGCTTAACCATAAATGCCACATCCCTTCTCTGAGACAGCCTTTGGAGGAAAGAATCAGAATCCTGGGAGAAGTTTACAGCAGCATCTAGCAGAGCTCCCAGAGTGGGATGGGGGACTGCCACCCAGCTGTGTCCCAGTGGAAACAGCCCCACTGCCCCCAGCTGTCAGCCAAGCTGCAAACTACAGAGCCCTCTGCTTGCTGTTGAGCTGCTAAACACTTAGCCACTGCAGGGGATAAGCTGTGAAGCACTGTCAGAGTACTGTACTGCTCTGGGAGGTTGAAAGCATCCCCTGAAATCTCATCTGTCTCTGATGGTTCTGTTTTGTTTATCAATGGTTTTATTGTCTTTTTGGTTCATTATGCATGCTTCTTTGAGCTGACATAAAAGAAACGTTCATGTATAAGGCTAAATAAAATAAAGAATAATTAAAGCATTTAAAAATAAAACGTTTTGCAAAGTTCAATTTCTTCATGGTTTCACAGAGAAAATCATCTGTTATGTGCAATTACTCTAACTCTTTGACAATAAAATCTCACCCACTACTAGCTAACTCTAAATGAGTCTGCAAGAAGTCACCCTCTGCCACTGACCTGCTGTATCACTGCGAGTATTTCCCTGCCTGATGCCTCCGATTATTCTTTCTTAAATTTAGGATCCACAGGTGACAAATGCCTCATAAGTCCTATACAATAGCCAGACACTGTTGTCCTATGGTTAAGCAAAACAGAACAACCCCCTCCATCTCTTTCTCCTTGATGGATATCTCTCAAATAGTAAGAAAAAAATGAAGTTCAGATTTGCGTCTGCATTGAAAGAGAGGCGATGTGGGGTTGCCATTTCAAAAAGGACTGGGAAGGCAGAGAGCATCAGATTTGCATTACATTCAGAGAGGTGAAGAACTAATGCCACGTTTGGAAGGGCTGGCCTTGCTCCACCAGCCTATCTGCTGGAATACTGAGCGTCCTTACAGCTACTCCCTGTGCTCTGCTGCCAGCACTCTAGACAGAGGCCAGCAAGCTCAAGTTTCTCTATTATGGCAGTTCTTCTGAAGTTGTGAAAAGTTATTGAACTGGGAAATCTGGTCCTGATCTTAGCTCATAAATCACATCGCAACTCAGATAAAAATACATGCTCATCTTTGAAAAGAGCTAAATGCCTTTGTCTGGTATTCAACATATATTAATTGCATTTCTATCACAGTGATTAGGTTTATTTACTATATGGTATCAACAAGCATCAGCAAGTCACAAAAAGAAACTTTGTCCTCTTGTTATAATATCAGAAACTTGTGATTGCAAGCTGCTAGGAACAAGTGTAGTGAGAAGTGAAAGCACATGCTACAGCATGAAAAGCATATTAGGCACCTCAGAGGGGATGTGATGGGGAATTAATAGATCCACTTAGTATCACAGGAGAAGGTATTAAATGCAGTAAGGATGAAAAAAGCTATTTTAAACAACCATGCCAACTGTCAGAATCACAAAAGGAATGGCAAGTCTGCTGCTGCTTTTGTTGCTGATGTTCTAAAGCTAAGAGAATTTAAAGAAATTCTGTAATCAAGGTGTAGAAAGGAGGCAGTAAACACCAGGAGACACCAAGCTTGGTGATCTGCAGAGTAATATAAGTGCAACTGGGACATGTCCTCCTGCCTGTGGGTGGTGTATAGGGTGCAGAGAGTGTTTGCCTAAGAAGTGCAGCTGAGCATCCTGACTTGCTTGTGTATGATGATGGAACCATTTGCTGCAGTCTTGTGGACCACATTCAGTAAGTATCTCTCAAAGATTATATAATCTCTTTGGGAAGATATAGGTAATACTAGGAAGTCCCAAGCTTCATGCACATGGTAAAATAAATCTTAATCTCCTGTGTAACTCAAAGATCCTCCATTACGAACTTGCACATAACCCCCTTCCTGTCTGAAAACTTATTGCAAGATTATCAGTACATTTGCATTCATAAAGAAGAAAAATGGTGTACAGAAAATGGGGTAACTACAAAAAGAATATAGGAGACAGGAGCCTGAACTTTTGTCAAGCAAAATGTGGAAACAGTTATCCAAATTCAAGCTCTCTGACAACCTAGAAAGAAATTGCACATTGCTGTCAAATTATTTGGGAAAAGGAGTATCCTTGAAGGAAATTGCAGAGAAATACTAATAGGCTAATAGCTCTGTTCAAACTGTTGTTTATGAATCCTGCTTACAGAATACCGTATTATTTATCTAATTGGTGTCCTTTATTGTATGATGGAATCAATACTGAGAGCCCAGGTGAACACAATTACCAGCTCTGAACAGTAGGAATTCACAGGATCACAACTGAACTGAGAAAGGAAGTGGAAGTAATGTAATAGACTCAAATGCAGGAAGGAAAGCATACGATGCTTCAAAATATTTCAGATGTCAATACAAACAGAAAGCTTTATTCCCTGTAACACTGTAATCCAGTGGTAGGGAGACATCTACATTTTGGCTTAAACCTCTAAAACTCCTTGCATCCTTCCTCAACCCTGGTGCCAGCCAAGGAGGGTGAGCTTGCACACGTTCACGTTAAAGAGCCGTTGGTTGGCTTTACAAAGAGCTAAATCTTTTCATGAGTAGTTCAAGCTGGTTAGAATTGATAGAATAGCAAACCCAAACTCCTCAGACGCTTTCTACTTTGTTTATGCTTACACTGAATTATTTGGGCAGTATCCCAATGCCAGCTGTTGGATATGAATGTGGTTGCAGTAGCTCTCCTCACTAAAAAGGACTAATTGTGCTGCTAGAAGATGGAACAACCTGTAAACGGTTCATGCTTGGCTGAGGCACAGCACTCAACCTGGAACCTGACAGCAAGCTTGTGGTCTGTACCAGATGGGCCTATTCTTTCCCAACATTTTTGTAGCACTGTATTCCGGCATCATTCATTCAGGATACTTCTTAGTGGGTCCAAAAATCTGAATAGTATGCTCCTAGTGTATACCAGAGCTCTTGAAGTACAGTTGCTGCAGACCTTTACCAGTTCATATACTTTCTGTTCCTCAAAGACTTTCTGGGAATGCTTTCAATAAACAGTTAATGAGAAGGAGCATAAAGCCACATCTACACCTCATTGTAGCAGAGACCGCCTAGCAGCTGTCACAAAGGCTTTAACACTACTCACGCTGCTTGACCTATACTATGTCAAGATATGGCCGCCACTCTTCCTCACCTGTTTTTATTGTACTGATCAGAGAATGGGCAAAATGAAACAAAAGACTGCAACTTCTTCAAGTAAGGCAATTCCAAAAAAACTCCTTTTTATAGCCACCCACCTCCTTTTTTTTTTTTTTTTTTCTCCTGACTACTCTGTTGTTTGACTTGAATAGCTGATCCAATTTCCTTAAAAAGAGCAAGAGCAACCTTTCCACCATATGGATGTTCAATGAACCTGGGGGAAGGTCCACTTCCAATTCATTTTTCAAATACTGGCTTTTGAAATAAGGATTGCCAAACAAGGCAGCCCATATCTTAGGACAGAACAGGAGAAACGTTTTAAGATCAAACATTTGGAGCTTTTAGCATTGTGCATAGTTTTTATTGTAAAGAAGCTTAAATTGGCACAGAGGTGAGGTATCACAGGGACAAAAGTTTTTTTTTGCATTCCCTTTTGCAGCAATCCAAACAGCTCCAAAAATAAAGAGTAAAATCAGAATAAAATGTAAATTTATAATTTTAATAATTTGTTCAAAAAATGAAATCTGGTAGGTTTTTTTTTTTTTTTTTTTTCCCTGCTTTTAACAGCAATCCTGATGCATTTACATAGATTCTCTCATTTAAAGAGATTCAAAACTGACTTTCAAACTAAGTAACAACAATTAAGTCTTTTGCTGAAGTCCAGTGAAAGGTAAAAAGGGAAAAAGAAATAATGAAATGATAGCACTTCACGGAGTTTGGTTGAGTTCTTTAATGCCCCAAAACACTTGAAACACTACCTGCTACATGTAAAGCTTCCTCCTAAAGAAGTGCAACGTTTAGAAAGATCTGTGCATCCATTAGTAAATGTAGTAACCTCTGTGTTCAAATGCAAAGGCTCTTTTCAAATAGGCATTAGAATTGTCATCAAGAATAATCGCAGATTCATAGAATGACAAGCTAGTTTCAAAGCCCTGCTATGTGCAGGGTCACCAACCACCAGACCAGGCTGCCCAGAGCCACGTCCAGCCTGGCCTTGAATGCCTCCATGGATGGGGCATCCACAACCTCCTTGGGCAACCTGTTCCAGTGCCTCACCACCCTCTGGGTGAAAAACTTCCTCCTCATATCTAACCTAAACCTCCCGTCTCAGTTTAAAACCATTCCCCCTTGTCGTATCACAATCCACCCTCATAAACAGCCGTTCCCCCTCCTCTTTATTTGTTCCCTTCAAGTAGTGGAATGCCACAATGAGGTCTCCCCAGAGCCTTCTCTTCTCCATGCTAAACAAGCCCAGTTTCCTCAACCTTTCTTCATAGGAAGAAAGGAAAAGGAATAAAGAAAGGATCAGGAACGTTATGCAGTTGTTTTCAGGTTTGAACTAATACAGAGAATAGAAAGCAGGCAAAAAAAAAAAAAAAAAAAAAAGTGAAAGCATCACTAGGTCTATTATGAATAGGAAGTAGAAAAATAAGGGAGAACCTTTCAGGGAAAGCAAGGAGGACAGAACATAAGCAAGACAGATTTCCCATATAAGAGGAGGACATGGATTAGGAAAAATGAGGTTGATAGGATTTCATAAAGCAAAACCCCTGAAATAACATCCTTCATTTTCTTAAGTTTCTGTATTCGTCCCTGGAAATAGGTAGAACCAAGGTTTCTCCCCAAATCCATGTGGTGCTGCAGATGGGAACCTCACAGAAATCACCTCCAGAGTGACTGCAGCACCTCTACAGAAGTGAGCCCTAGGAAGCTGCCCACCAGCACCTGGTCTCTGCCTTACCCTGCAGATACAGACAGGGCAGATTACTGGGCTCTGATGCAGAGACACGCAGACACTCCTAAGCAATATCATTTCAAAGTCCTTATCTGCTCTCTCGTCAATTCCTCCTCCTCCCCTGGTTCTGCTTTTCTCCAATCTGCCAAGATTTGTAAATATTTCATTAACTGCCTACTTGCATTCCTGCACTAAAATCTTTCTAACAATAGAAACCATTCTTGTCCTGCACAGTTACACTACATACTGCACAAGGTCATTCTGCATTTCTTTCTTAGTATTTTTGCTCCCAGAGGAAAAATGCACTAATAGCAAGGATAAAACTGCTCCCTTCTAGTTGCTACAGGAACTAGAAAATGGTGTGTTAATTACCAGCACTGAGAGCTCTAGTTTGAACAGCATTAAAATCAGAAAAACAAATCTGGCCTAAAATAAAGAATAATCATATCTTTAAATCTCTAATATTTGGAATCCACAAATGGCTGCTCAGTCATTACAGCTATTGTTATGGCAAAAGAAAATGACTTAAAGCTTGAGGATGTGTTTGTCAGATGCTGAGAGGACACCAAATAGTTCTTTGTGATGACAGGTTGAGAAAATATTGCACAAATATTTGTTTAACTCAAGAGCCAGGCAAACGACACCATCTGAACTGCCTACCTTGGGCACTAGTTAGCATGCCTAAGTTTAGGTCTAGGTTCTGAATTACAGAGAAAAAGAGTGAAAAAAAGAGTGTTAACCACAACCCAGTTTGCATATTAGAATAAAAGAATCACAAAAGCTTTTCGCAAATTTAACATTTGTTGTCACCATCACAAGGCAGCAACACTCCTAACAGCTTGTTTTAAGGGCAAGAAGTAAAATATGGCTGAATTAAATTAAATTTAAACAAGGAACTACGGAAGGCCTCCTAAACTGTCAGTGTCCATTTAGTGAAGCTACCTTCCTCTTTGATACAGTGAATTTTACCTGAATCACAAAACGTAACAACCATCACAACAGGGCTCCTAAAAAAAACAAACCTCTGGTGACCAGTGCTCTAACACGCGCTCTTCTGTCACAGCACAGAGGCTCAGCTCACTCCAGACTGCTTAAAAGGGCTTTCATTTGATGTAAATTAGGAACAGAAACATCTGTGGCTAAGAGGGCTTGAGAGCTCACTTTTGCTTGACTCCCATTATTTTGATGGAATCTGGCAAACAGAGTAGTTCCTTGAAACAAAGCTGATGACACTTTGCTTGATATTTCTTAATACTCAAGTTGAGATTTTCATTTGTTTATAAGAATTTACCATTTAGAAAGGATTCGATACACCTCTCACTGTCTCCTGTAATACTCCAATTTTGGCCTTGCTAACAACATCATTTTCAGTTGTTTCAAAGCACCAAATGTGTATGAATGGGAGGAAGAAAACAGCATGCATTAGAAAGTAATGTGCATCATGGGCTAAATATATCAGTTGTCTTCCACTTCCTTGTTTAAAATTAACTACATATTTCATCATTGTGGGATTCTATTAACTCACGTATAAATATATTCAGAACATGACTAAATACATTTCAAACATAGTTTGAACAGATTGCTTTCTACTATCAGAAGCCCCTTTGTTTAACTCAAGAGCCAGGCAAACGACACCATCTGAACTGCCTACCTTGGGCACTAGTTAGCATGCCTAAGTTTAGGTCTAGGTTCTGAATTTACTCTGAATTAACTGTGTCTCATCTCTACATTTTTTCCTTCAGATCCATTAATGTGCTGTACTGAAAAATTCAAAAATGATTCAAGATTTAAGTCCCCCACTTCACCTATAAACCATACTTGTGAGCTAAGGTACAGGGAAATGCTCAGATAGACACTTTCAGTGTTGAATACATTACTAGGGGGCTCAGCAAACTCTACTGCAGGATCAAAATGCCCCACGGCCCATTGAAATAACTCTTCTTAAAAAAATCCCTGCTTGGTGTTTTCCATTATCTGTCCTGATTAAAAAAAAAAAAAAAAAAAAAAAAAAAAGAGTTATGAAAGATGAGAGAATTCTTGTTCCCATTGCTCAGATGCTAATAGCAACATGGTGATGTTCTGCCATAGGCGGCAGGAATGCAGCCAGGCTATTAAATGTTGTAGCTGGCAGGATTACTTACATTTTGCAGCTGGACTCGGCTTTGTGCCATACACTCTGACTTTGCCATCATGCTAGAAGCATTTAGGCTGTAGGTTTTCCTATTCTGCGTTTCTTTCAGCTGTTCATGAATTTGCTTTGTTTGTTTCCTGCAGAAAGAAAGAAAATTCATGTAAGAGCGAGCTAGTTTCAACTCCTACTATAGCCACGATATGTATATAACTAGGGGTCCTTTTTTTTTTCTCCAAACTTCACCACATTGGAATAACCAGCTGCATTAATTCACCAGTGTCTAATATTTCAATGCAGTGGTCATTTTCTGGAGAAGCTGAACAAAAGAAGAAAAGAGCTCTTCTCTCAAAAATGTCTTCTATTCTCAGATTACTACAATAGCATGCTGGCTGTTTTAGCACAGAAATTTGAAAGAAAGATTATCTACAACATATTTAACAATTGCAAGTAGGCCTGGATATTAAAAAAGCATTTTGCTCAGATTTGGAACAGAGATTTTGGCAAATACAGCAGCATTTGTCTCTGTTTGTTATAAAATGTGTGACAGAATCAAACATTTCTGCTAGCAGCTCATTAGACTTCACCTACTATCTTGCATACATCAGCTTTTGCTTACATGCTTTAATCTGGAAAAAAGCATCAGTAGTGTATCTGAGGCTACTTTTGACATATTACACTATGATCCACTATGTCACAGCTGACAATGCCTCTAAGACAAGTCATTTGCAATATTCAAGAGATAACTATATGATTAAAAACAGCTTTCTCTTTCTGCCGTATTATATTGACAAACTGAGTTCTAAAGTTCTACACATTATTGTGGATTTCAGGCAGAAAGCTCTATTTTAAGGAAGTATTTTATCCTCTGCCAGCAGATAAAGCTCAGTTAAGCAAATACAGTCAGCAGAATATATTTGAGGCCTTTAATCGGAGACTGCTCTTTGGGAAAGATACACTGTTGGAGTTCTAAATGAGAAATAAGTCCCCACTCCTAGTTTAATTCTTTCCTTCCTACCTTATTCTCCTCAGCAGATGCACTGCATGCAGCAATACTACAAAGACCCTGGAGCCCACCCAGCAAGGTCAAGGACTGGCCAGCAGCAGCAACCCTGCTTCGCTGTGCTATGCACAGCTTCTGTACAGCAGCTGATGCTGAGCCAAATTTCAGCAGGCAGCGAGTGATTTTTAACATTACAACTGAGATTCTATAAGGTAATATACGAAGAAAAACAATTTAATAATTAGTTTCCCTTTAATGTTCATGTAACCTAACGCTGATGTTAGGTTTATGCATATTCATTTTGCCAAAAAATAGGATGCAGGATTATAAAACTTGAAATTAATAATTTAAAGTTACTGCTTAATATATTTATTTCGTATTTTTAGTCTTTAAAACAAATGAGTCTTCTGTGTTTTACTTCACAGATATTCTGCAATAAAGTATTATCTTGGCAAGAAAATGAAGTCACTGGTCATCTATAAAATCCTAAGCCATAAAGAGAAGCCCATTGCTTTTTATTGTGGTCTCCCCTCTGTTGTTAACACTTAAGAGTAATTTCTTTACTACTGTGAAATGAAAAATTGGAAGGGCATAGTGTTTAGTTATAAAGTTCTAACTTGCCCAGAGAGAGTATATTTTAAAGGATTTTTAATACACTGTATAGCAAATCACATACATCTAGCAGCAGGTATTATACAAACATCACAATGAAGAAGTCAGGGTCTGCTTCTTCAAATAAACTTCCTTTTCCCTGCCAGATTGTGCACCATTCAGTTTCCCTAGATGTTAAGTAATATTTGATAAAAGTTAAACAAGAAGATCATCCCCCAGACAGGAGGAATGCTTGGATAACCTGCAAGAATGATGGAGACACGTCTGCATGATGAAAAGATCTGAAAATCTGTTGTGCTAACACACATCATGGTTGATTCATTTTAACTTTGCTGCTTCAGCCTTAACTTCGCTTTTATACCCTTGAGACACTGGGCAGCATCAGAGATACAATAATGTTTTATGCGGCCTCTATGCAACCCAGTTCAGGCACTCTTGTGTGGGCCAGGAGCTTCACATGGGTGCTCAGACCAAGAGGGATGAACAAAATGTTTCCCTTAGTCTCCAGTGACTTGGAATCATGCTTTTAGAGGGAGTGTTCCAGGCTGACCTGTACTGAGGTGAGCCTGGTATGCAACCATGGTCACCTGCTGAAGTTTGAGTCAAGGCATTAGCAGAAAAACAACATGCAGACTGATAATTAGTTACTGACTCTTTCCAGGCTTTTGTGGGAATGGTACTAATAACAAAAGGGGAAAAAACCTCATGAGCAGTGAAAACATTTAAGAACTCAATTTGAAAGGCAAGAGAAATTGCAGTGCTACTTAACTTCTATAGCTTTTGACATCTCCAACTATTTCTGCATAGCCACAGCATTCCCATCTCCTGCCTTAGATTGGGCAAACTCTACTACCTCACCTGCCTGGTCGTCATAGATTCGGTTATCTAGACAACGAACAGGCATGCTAACTTCCTGTGAAGGCAGGGACAAAGCAGTGAAAAGGCTTACTTTCTGGACAGTTTGCAAGATGGGACCACAATCAGGCACTTAGGGATTAGTATGCTAACACTGCTGTGCTTCCTGTGTTTGAAAGGACCTCTTGACAGAACTGAAGGTGCTCATTTTCTCAATACTCCTCAAATTTCAGATTCCAGAATCTGGCATAAGTACACTTCAATTCTTCTCAGTAACTCCTAACTATCAGTTAAAACCAATAATAAAACACAAACCTGAGATAGGAACCACTACAGTCCTCTGAGTGCAACTTTGATGCATTATTTCTACTCATTATTTTTAAAAATAGCTGCCCCACCACAGAATCCCCTTGGTTTATGTTCCTGTCAGACTCTAGCTCGAAAGAACAGTTAAACAGAATCCCTTAAGTCATTAGAACAGGTAAGGGGGCTTAGAAAAAAATGAACCAGGTCCAAGTCTTCACTCAAATCATGTGCACAGTAGTGCTGAAATTTGTGCAAAAAGGGGAAAAAAATAAAAAGGTCTGGTGATTTTTCCAGTGTGCATTTCTCCTTTTCCTGAGAGAAAGCTCGAAACATTTTTTTTCCTGCAGAAAGTAGTTTTCATCAGATTTCCTTCCCATTAAAATAAATTTATGGTCTGTGTGTATTCAGATAAGCATCCAACTTCTAAATTGTAGAAACCTCCACATTCTTAATACTCAGCCACCATGGCTAACCTCATGCAGGTAATATTTATATTGATGTATGTTTTCTCATTAGCTCTAGTTTGAACAGCAATGAAGGATGATAGCCATACAGAACATATTTATAAATGCAGTGGCGTTAACAAGCACATCATGTAATTGCCATGAGGCTTGTGTAGTCAAATTTCACACACAGCAATAAATATTAAAGATAATGTCCAGTGGAGGAGATAAAGAAAAATAAAATGAAAAGTATTTTGCTTGAAAAAAGTTTAGTACAGATGATTCCACCTTAGTTATACAGTTCCACATCCTTGTGAACTAGAAATACTCAGTTATGCAGCTCACATCATCAGTTTACAACTCTCAGCTAATGGCTGCAGTTATCCACAAGGAACTTGACTGTTCACACATTGCTAACTTTTGCCTTTATTCCCAGCATACAGAAAAAAGAGGGACATTAAGGAAAACAAAATGCAGAACAAAAATTAAAAAAAGGTATCATAAACCTTTAGTTTTCAAAATAAGGCAGTGATTAATGCCAATTATTGTCCAGAGAAAGGAATACAAGGGACACAACCTCTTCTTTCCTGGTATAGGAAAACAGAAAGGACATGTAATACTTGTTGTTTGTGTGCTTGGCTTTTTGTTTCGTTTTGTTTTTTTTTCACTTAGATATTCTAGCCATGGAGAACTGTTCTAACCTGCCTGGAAATAACAACAGCTTCAAACAGAGGGGAGAAACTGAAGAACTGGAAAGCCGTAAAAAGGACAGAAGCTGAAAAACAAACACTAGACAAAGGCTCTTACTTTGTTTTGAAGTAGAACGCTGCACAAAGCATGCCCACTACGACTATGCCAAAGACGATACAGGAAATAGACAGCACCTGGCGCTGGTAAATTTCTTCGCTCTCTGTAAACAGCAAAATTGAGAAATATGAAGGCATCAGAAAACAGTACTTGTAAAAAGTGGATTTCTGTACAACATGGTTTCACCAGTGATGGACAAATAAGTGAGATTTTGGAGTTCTGAGTTGCCCAGTTCCTCAACAGAATGAATGTTTCTCTGAACCTCTCATCTCGTAGAGGTATGGTCTCCTAGGAAAGTCTTACAAAATGGTCGCCAAACACATTCAAAGATTCATAAGCATAAAAATTGGGGAAGTTTAACATTTTCTTTGCCCTGTATGCCCCTTTCCCGCTTTTTAAAAGATCATGCTTCCCCTGTCAGTGGAATAAAGAGCCCTACAACCATGGAGCTTAATTGGCTTAAGACAAGATCCATCAGAGCTCTCCCAAAGTCCCACAAGACTCGGGAGTTCATTTTTAGCTACCAGAAAAATGGCAGGTTTTTTTTTTTTTTTCTTTTCTTTTCTGATAGCATGGTTATTCTTGTACAGCGAAAAAATTAATTCAACCAACTTTGGATTCCAAAGACTATTACGTCACAATGCATCCTGGATATCTCAATTTTCTGAAGTAATTTCGTTAATAAATCTCATCACCTACCAATTGACTTCAAAACAGGAACAGAATGAATTAAAAAAAAAAAAAAAGAAAAAAGCTAAGAAAACAAGAGAAAGATCTCATTCATGACTACAGACAGAAGCTGATGGGCAAATGGAGTTTCACACACTGAATTTATCAAGAGCTCCTAAATACTCTATTATATTTTTATTAATTCTACCACTTCTATAGTACAAACTGTTATAAGATTGTTGTTTCAGGGTCACTTTTCCAAAACATATAGCACATAAAATAATCTCTTCATTCATGAGTTTGAGGTAGAAAACCAACATGGAGGATTATCAAAGCACAGTACAAGCTCAGTACACTGGCAAAGCTACGTTTCCTTTCTAAGTCAGAGATCTTCAGTGCAGAACATCTGTAAACATGGATACCAGACTCATGTGTTAAGTGGGTTTACAGCAACTCCACATTCTAAGTGTGCAAGGTTCTAAGAAGAAAGAATGTATGACAACACTAAGATTAAACTGGGCAAATATTGGAAAAATCATAATCTAACTGGAACTTCATTTAAATACTGTATTTATTACAATGACTAAATACTACGTACAGTGTCCTCATCAGTACTAATTATTTATTACCCAAGAAAAAAATACTCAGACTACTCCATTGCCATTTCTAAACATTTGGATTTTTCAAGAACAATCTGTCTCTAGCAAAAGTCCAATTTCCCTATCATAAGCTGTTTCAAAAAAAAATTACAAGTAGCAAACATTTGTTTCTTAATTACTTCTTTACTTGCTCACTCAAAGAATAATATAGTGATTAAGAACTCATTTCTAAGATGCAAAACATCCTCAGCTCCTGTTGACTTTTCTTCCTCATTTAGTTTTGAAATTCCAGATGTTGTACTGTTATGGTACTGTTTTAAACATTACAAGAAGTAAATACAATAACCTAGGAAGTCTGAAACACAGCCAGAAATGTAATTCATTAGAAAACATTGGTAATATAGCAATAAAATAGATTTCATCAGAGCTTTAATCCCATTCCTTACAGCATGAATATAATTTGGATCTAGAAAGTAAATTCCTATAGCAACCAACTACGGATTTGGGGCTTCTTGTTCCTTGTTTTTCACTACTGTGCATAAATACAGAGCTATCCACCTTCCATTTCCACTACAATGCTCATAGGACTGATCTTATGCATTTCAAATCACTTTGTCAGGGTGAACACACTGCAAATAGTTAAGGGATTATTCAGCTTCACAACTGTCAATCTATTCTGACTCAATGCCAATTTCAGCATGTTCTGCCTAAGATCACAAATAAAACATACATACTTACAAACAGTAATTTCACTCAGACATTGCATATAATTAAAAAGAAACAGATGTAAGTCTTGTGAAAAAAGACCTACTTTTGCTTTTCTGTCAACTTAGGTGTCCATTAAAAACTTTATTGCTTTTGTTGTTTCGTTGAAACTGAATTTCATATGTCCATGGTCTTTCGTCAGTTCTGAATAGCTATCACTGCCTTGTTAAAGATGCTTTAGAATACATTTTGCCAAGATAAAAGCACTTCAGAGACTGGACAATATTATCCTGCCCAAACCACTATGTGAAGATTTAAGTCTTTTGTGGAGACTGTTTAATCCCTGTCATGTCACTAGCTCTCAAGACATTCTGATCAATGCTTTCTTTACTTTCTGTTTATTCCGTATGGCACATATTTAAAGAACCAGTTATTGATTAGCTTAACTCCATTAGACACCTTTGTTCATTTTTTTTTGTATCCTTTAAATCTGTGTTTATGTATTGGACTCCATTTTCCATCTCAAACATCTTAAAATATAATCAGTTTAGCATTTTTCTATTCTCAAGTCTTCCACATCCTTTTTGTTTTTCCTTTAAAAACAAATCAAAGCCCTTCCTTTTGACAGAAATTTAATCTGAATCTCCCCGAAAACTTTGAAGGTCTCCTCATTGTTGACATGCTTTAAGTCCACCATTGCCCTGAACTTGTACAGTACAACTGAGCTCTCAGAAGCTGAGGTGTGCAAATAAGGGCCCTTGAACCTAACACATGATAAGCCAGAGAGCTTCAGCGGAGTGCTGCTGAGTGCTCTTGCTCTCACAGAACAGAACACCAATGAAAATAATGTGCAAAAAAGAGAACCAAAGATTACTTCTCCTTAGCTGTAGATGCATCAGCCTACACAGACGCACGTATTCACACACTGTAACAAACTACCCAAGGTAATATAAATTGTGACTCAAATTATTAGATGTCTCTCTCTACTGATAATTATTCATACATTCCTGGTGAAATAGACTATCTTGATTACATTTTATTGAAATAAACATTCTAGGGACTAACTAACAGGCAAGAAAATGCTGCAGCTAAAAACCCAAACTATAAGCTGATGTTGATATTCTCGGATAATCCAGTTAAGAATGCAGAACAGTATTTCCATTCAGCATTGAAATTATACGCATACCAACAAACATAAACCAGCTGAACAATAAAACAGTGAATTGATTTGACTATTTTGTTTAGTGTAAATTATGGAAAGAATGATCCATTAAGACAAGACAAACTCATGTGGAGCATTAAGTCCCTCAGGACAGGTTCCTGTAGGCAAATCCTCATTCACCATGTACACCATTTACATATCCAGCCCACTTTCATTTACATAATTGATTCTTTCTTGTCTTCATTGCCACAACAAACTTAATTCACCTTTCACCTTGCCCCTTTCATCATTCTAAGCTTGAATTCAACTTCTCACACCTTTACTAAAAAGCTTATTTCACATATTTGCTACTGTTATGAAATATAAAATTGACTATTGGTGACCCATGAAAGCAATGCTTCTTCTAGTGATCACACTGCAGTCAAATTTAACCTGCCACTGAAAAAAGTACATGTCATATTCCAGGTGTTGTGTTCCCTTTTGATTCTCTTGCTCTTTAAAATTTACTCTTAAAGGCTGTCCTCTCTCTGCATTATGCATATGGAAAGACCTGCTGAAGCATGCACATAAAACTTCAGGGGATAAAATGTGTAGGACAGACATTTTTCTCATGATTGCTACTTCTGAAGAATGTAGTGCTTTGGTTGTGTAAGTAAGTTGAAACATGCCTCTCCTTTGTAACTTTGCTATAAAAGAATAGGGGTATGGGTTCCTTGAGAAAGAACTACATGTATTTCTATCCATACGACTGAGGAAAAAAAAAAATCAGCTAACAAAAACAGATTAATGTAGACTTTGTTAGCCTAACGTACAACACCATTACCAGCCATAATCACTTGATCCTCTAGTTTTATTGTATATTTTCTCAGTTCATTGAAATAACTTTGAAAGTTATTCCAACTATAAAGAACTGTGCTGGCCTAGTGAAAATTATAACAAAACACAAATAGTGACTTTCACATACCTCAGTAGCATCATTTGCTACTTAGAAAATTACTAGTGTCCTGTATCCTCAGAGGACCGTATAGAAGTCTTCTGTACAACAAAAGAGGAGGACTGCATGAAAACTCAGTGCACACTGAGATTTCCAATGGAGCATGGATTATCACAAATGAAAATGCAAATGATTAGTTAAGAGCATATTTCCCAATATACTTAGATTTATATGTGACAAATACTGAACTATATAAGGCGTTCTAAATATAATTTATGAAGAGAATAAAAAAAGACTGCAAGTTCCACAAAACAATCTGTGATTGCCTCAGCATCAGACTTTCAGCTCTCCCAAGAGTTTTCCCTGTTCTTTCACTTGCAAAAACCTGCCACACAGACGCACTGCCATATGCTGTGGCTTGTTCTAAGGCAGAGTGATTTAGCAGTTAAAATACGACAAGCCGCAGTTCACAAATTTCTTTGACCTTGAGTAATTCAAGAGCCTTACATCTTCCATAACCATGAGGATAATGCTTCCTTCTCCTATTTCAGAGTTTAATATGATAAACTTTGATAAACATCTCAAACTCAAAAGGAAGAAGCCAAGGAAAATAAATAAAAAATAGAAAAACCTGTCCCAGCTAAGTCTGCTCCAATTTCATTAAGAGCCTATGTGCTCTCACATAAAATGCCATACTTCATTCTAGTTCTCAGATATCTTTCTTAGACATTGAGTTTTCTTCCTTCAACTTGTGTCTGGGTAGAATTCTCTTCTGGAAGGGTTTCAGAATACTTCAGTTCTCAAGTAAGGAACGGAAGTTTGTACCCCATATCACTTACAGAAAGGCCAGTGTCAAGGTTAATTGCACAGATTCACATTTCAGGCTAGAATTGGATCAAGATAACTTCTGCTGGCTAACGTTCACAAAGCATTTCATAGCTGTAATAGTTAACCTCCCTTGGGAAGAACAGTTCCACGATTCCAGTGGTAACAAAGATTAAGAAAATACATTTTCTTGTGCCCATGGAATGTCT